TGCTTTCTTCATGCTGGCTAGTGCTCGCATCAACTTCCTGTGCACCAGCACAGCTCAGCAGCCCAACAAAAACTACCCTAGCATAGAGCTTTTTGATTTTCTGTCACTTCTTGTTGAATCAATCACACCATGGAACAGCTCAGCAAGGACCAGAACTGATGGGAGGGTGGAGGTGGAGCCACAATTCACGGGCTTGGGGGCAGAGGCTAGAGGGAGAAGAAGGAAGAAGCAAGACCTCCCCTTTTTGACAGCAGTGAGTTCTTTGTTGATGTAGCTATCTAAGGCATTAGTCTAACTTGCCAAAATTAATTGTTTCTGAGAACTGTTTCTTTCGATAGTGGTCCGCAAAAACTAAGGATGTAATAATTCTTAGTTTTACCCATAGTTTTTGTTAATGTAAGAATGAGATAATTTTGATCAGTATCTTTCAGCTTAAGGCATAAACATTTTCCCCTTTGATACTAACAAAAAAACATGTAACTTTTTGTGACTAGTGTTGGTTCATTGGGAGGGTTGGTGTTTGTTCTAATCACAGGAGCCCTGAGGTTATGATGCTAATATAAATATGTTTATATTGAGTTTAAATGTTTCCTAAAATAATTGAGGTGAAAAATAGCTGGAAAAGCTCTTGTTGTGGCAAGTCTTTTATGTAACAGTCTTCAAAGATCTTTTTGTCTAGGGAAGGTCCTGACCTTTCCCAAAAAAAAAAAAGGAAGATTTGTGTTACCAGGAACCACAGTACTGGGATAGACAAACGACTACTGCTGCTTCCTGATTTAAATTTTAGTACATTGATTGGTTTTGTTTTCTTTCCTTTAAACTCTAACATAAGTATATACTACAGCAAGTATGTGTTTCTTTGTACTTTTCCCCATAAACTTAATCTGGTTTCAGGGAGAGTGCAGATGGATAATTAAGTTCTGGCCTTTAATGCTTGGCTAATAAAGTTAAAGCAACTTGTGAAGAGAAGTGCAGCTTTACATGGAACTAGAGCAGTGTTGAGAGTTAAGACAAAGCACTACTGTATACAGCCTGGACATGACTAAATGACTTGCAGTCAGCCTCACTTGGATTGGGTGTGACTGATTTTGACAGTCAAGTTAGGGAGTAAACTGCTTGTAATTGTAGTAAAAAATGAGGTAGGCAGCTATTGTCCACAACCAGGGGATGCTCTTTACACCTGTGCAAAAATTCTTTTGAAATAGCTTGTGAAGAGAAGCTTGTTTAAGAAATAATTTTTAATTTTACCTTTCCACAGACAAGTGTGTCCACTTCATGTGTTTAATGTAGATTTTTCACTCCCCCCTGTTCTAATCCAATTTCCTGCCTTGAATTTGATTGTTACCAGTTACTTTGACAGCTGTCCCTGGGGTCTTTTTGACAGCAATTATATCAATAATAGCTGTATCAAATAAATTAATCACCTTCTGTCTTTTACCTTATTTTCAAAAGAAAAAAAATCTACTTCTTCCATCAAGGGCAGAGCAAAGCTTCCTGTCTACATTGCCAACAAGAAGGAGATGGAAGTCTTGAATCGCATTAGAGAAATTGGATTAAGTTGAGTAGATCCTGTTCCCAGAAATATCCTTGCTCATTACAAGTCAATATAGTGGGTTTGCATGTGATGATTTTTCAAGTCAGAACCTGAAAACAAAGGACCCAGTGGTTTCCCATGTATCATGATTTGGGAGGCTTCGTCATAAAATTCAGCAATGGTTTTGGTTGATGTAGTCTTTTCTATCATTTGGTTCTGAAGAAGAAAGCAGTTGTAAGTTTTTGTGGTCTCCTATATGAAAAGCATATGCTTACATGGAATTTAGGTTGAATGGTGGTGATTTAGTGTAATCAATATGATGAAAAAGGAAGAGCATACTTTTCAACAGGGAGTGTTTTCAGATGGGGACAGCAGTCCAGGAGGTTAAAGAAGGTAAATATTACATATTATTCTCCAATCTTATATACAAGTCCATGTACTTGTCTGTGAAAGTAGGTGCCTATTCTTGTTATCCATAAAAGATACTAAAATTGGAAGGCTTTTTTCGTAAGACCTGTTCCTAGATGTTTGTTTTAAGTGCAAAACCAGGTAATGTTTGACAATACTCAGTCCTTTGAACTGTTTGGATAATTTTAGGCCAGATGTATCATGTTCCTCTTAGTAAAATCTGCTAAACTGTATTGATCTATATTGCCACAGAGTCTGTGGCCCGTGTGGGGATTTGGTGTAAATCCACTTAACCAGTTTGCTTACTAGGAGCTATTTTCTCCAAACAATAGAGTAAATCCTGAGATCTGGCTTCTTGCTTTCTTCTTTTTTTCTGTCCTGCAAAGGACTCAAGAAATGAACATCCAAATACTTGGGGAGGTGAAAGAGGTAGGATTCATAAGGATGGACTGTGGTCCATTGTGTGTGTCCCCCAATGTCTGCAGCACATAATATTCCTTAAGTCTCTTTTAATCCCATCTGTGCAAGTTTAGAAACTAGAACCAAGTTATCTCAGCTATTGTCCGAATTAAAGCAAACTTCAGGGATGGAATGTTACCCAAGTACTAGACACTCAGTACTGTGAGTCAAACACGGGGTTACATTGACAAATTAACTGAATCTATGGCTAACATTACTTTTAAAAAAACCCTTTTTTGTTGTTTTTTGGTAAGCAAAAATTTGTCTTTATGTGTAATGTGTAGCAAGGGTTTGTCACTTGTGTGTGCGCATATAGTGTATCAGTTGACTCAAAATAGATACATTCTGTGAAACCAAAAAAATAGATATTGTTTCTTGTGCATTGAAACTACACAGCTTTTCTTTGCTTCTGTCCCTTTTCCTGTAGGTTGCAAAGCACAAAATCTGCAGGCTTTAAATGTGTCTGCAGGTGAAAAATCTGTTCATAACAAGTTATAAAATCACTTGCAGTTAGGTTGTTGTAGAAAATATAAGGACTTTTTTCTTGTACATCAGTTTTCTGGGTTAGCATGGGCAAGCACATGTTTGAAGCAGAAGTTTATCTGAGTATGCTGATAGCCAATTTCTTAAAATGGTGTTGGGAAGGAACAGGAGCTCTTAATGAATTGATTGAATTAAAGAAAAAACTTCAAGATGTTCATTATAATTACTACATTTGTGACCTGCATAGGGAGTAGGAATTAAATTACACTTAATTATGAAGAATATCTTTGAAACTGCACTTTTGTTTGTTTTCAGCCTGTAATAATTTTTTAACATTTCTCTGAATACAATGCAAATCATATGTCAGTTAACAAAACCAAACAGCATCTCTATTCTTTGTTTACAGTTAAGACTGTTAATCTGAGCTTCTTCATAAGTCCTAAATCACCATCTGGATTGTCTGGAAAAACAAACTCAACAACCAAACAGTACCTGTGTGTCCCTTGTTGCATTTGTGCACCTTTTTATTTCGATTTTTTTTTCTATCATCGGTAGTCCTTTCCCTCCATTTGATTCAGTGAATCGGGTTTTTTACAGGATTAAATCATAGCCCATCCCTTGCCTTTATTTTCCATATTTCTTTGCAGCAAGATTTAAGTCAGGGTGTATAGTATCTCATAGCTCTTATCAAATTTTATGTATTTGAGATGTAAATGTAGCCCGGCTTTAATCTCACTTGCAAGGAAACCTGGAAGTCTGAGGGCCATGGTTCAGTTTCATGCCATTGCATTCTCTGTTGTACTGAGGAAGTGGGTCAGAGTTGTAACTGTTTATGATGAATTAGGGATATTGTAGCACTTAGAGGTGTTTCATGCTGCACAGTGTTTAAGTGATAATTTAGAATTAATTTAACCCAAATCTCTTTTGCAAATCTCTTTATTTGGGGGCACGTACATTATTCTTCCTTCTTTACCTAAAGTGTTGCTTTCTGCTGGTTTTACAGTTGACTTAAGGTCTTGCCTTTTCATCTGTTCTTCCTTCATATAGCACAACTCGTCATTTTGAAAGAGAACAGTTTAGAGCAGATTTTTCACCTACATCAATTAAACTTGTGTTTATAACCATAGGTAAATGTCTCATTTGTTTCTTAATTTAATTCCAAATAATTTGATATTTTTCGCTTGTTTGTTTTCCTGAAACATAATTATCATGTTACTAGCATGGAAGTGAGTAACAGGAGCTCAACCAAGGTGACAGAACATTGTCAATTGTCATTTGTACTGTTTCTAATAAGCCTGACTAGTCAGGAGAAACGTGTTTGAGGAATGCAATACAGAGAATCTTTTTAGCTGTTTAATTTCAGTGTGTGTTTCACAGATTTGAAAGACAGTTATTTGTGTTCTTTGCTTGAGGATGTTTTAGCTGTGTTCACAGGTTACATTTTCTTTGCTAATAGATGGCTGTTTTTGCCTGCCACTTCAAATGCATGCTTCCTTGTGGGTGGTGATACTGCTTGTTTCTCAGAAAAGCAAATCTGAAAAAAGGGAGGATGGTACATTTTCAGTTTTGTAGGAATTTGTAAATCCTCTTTCAGGGGAAATTACTTTGAATAAAACTGTCTTGTGTAATTCAAGTTGCCTAAAATATGGATTATGTATTATTATGCTATTAGATGATTAGCTATGACAAAGAGAAAAATGCTGTTATGCTAACAGGGATTTGTGAGCTCTTAATGGCCTACTACTCCACACCTCCCGGTCTGTGTATCTCACTGTCTTTTCAGATGCTTCTGGAACATACTTGCTTGTTTATAGAATAGAGTTTCCCTAGGAATGTCAACAAAATATTTATTATGACTACTTGTTAACTCTCTTACTACAGAAATATCTTGGAAGTCTAATGAAAAATATTATTACTGCTAGATAAAGCAAGTAGAAGGAATAAATATGACAAATTCTGGTTTCCTTGTGGTTTTGTTTGTTGTTTGGTTTTTTTTCTTAAAATGGCTATTTAGGTTTTTGGAGGTAATCATGTTCCCTTTCTCCTCCCACCCCAAATAAAAGTATAATGTATTTCCTTTGATTTTTTTTTTAGGCATTCAAAAGGGATGTTCTTGCTGATTCAAGACAACATAGTTCTGTTCAGGACTCTACACTGGGGATAAGGACATGGGACTCCTCCTGCCAGATTCCAGATGGTTCATTACAACTGACATCTTGGTTGACAACTGTGAAAAGCAACTTTGGATTATTTTATTTTATTTTTGTGGGAGACCACAATCCCCAAACTGTAGGACATATCAGGTAATAAATGAGATACTTAGACTTTTCATTAATGTTACTTGATTGTTCCTTGTTTTCTATGAAGGACTTTAAGCATTCAGATCTTTTTTGTTGTTTCTTACAAGAAATGGAAAACTTTTGGTTTTACATCTTGCTCTATAGCTGAGCAATGACAAGAAATTGTATTTCTTAGGGAAAGGTGGGGTGGTTCTGTTATAGCTTTAATAATTTGGGCTACTGTATATAGTATTTAAAATTATTATAAGTTATAAAATATAATTACTGATAATGTTTTTTATAATCCTGATTACCAGGTCTACCTCCTTCTTTTTGTTATTGCTTTTGAGAGTGCTTAATTTTATTAAGACTAGTTTTGCTGCATTTAGTAGGTAAGATAATTCCTGCACTCCAAACTTGTCCAGTTTTTACCTGGAAACTAGGAAACTTCTAAATTTTATTGAAATTTATGAAAGTTTGTATACTTGATGCTTTAAGATTATTTAATCTATTGACTTTCAATCTGTTTAGAATAACTCTGTATGTAATTCTCTTTTCCCTA